GTCTGGGCGACAGTGAGACTCCGACTCAAAAAAAAAAAATAAAAAAAAAAGAACCAAGATGGGCATGGTGGCCTGTATCTGGAGTCCCAGTTAGGAAAGCTGAGGTGAGAGTTCAGCTTAAGACCAGCCTGGGAAACAAAGTGAGATTCTGTCTCTTTAAAAAAAAAAAAAAGATGATGAAAAGGAATCAGGACCCTTTGAGAGATGCAGAACATACACAAGTTGAGCCTGGCGTGTGCTGTCACACCTGAGAACAAAGACACCATCAAAGACTATTTACTATCAAGTCACATCCTCAGAACTTAGGAGCCAACTGGAAGGGGCTTGCCAGCTAAAAAAGAAACAGTATGAGCACTGACAAAAATAGTAACTGCGATGGACTGAAACACACCAAGTACATTTCAATCCTTGAGGGCATAATTATGGTTTAAAAAAACTGGATATTATTCAAGGATAATTGTGAACAATTTATTATGTAAAAAATAATGAACAAAGGGAAAGATTCAAGCATTCCACCTGCCTTTCCCATATAAACTGTAACTGTGCAGCCAAACAGTAGTTGACACTTCTATCTACTGTCTCTTACAGAAGCATTCCAGCTAATAAATGAAGAAGGAATGATGGAATTAGAACACCGCCTTCTTACAACCCCTAATGAAGTCCTGGACATCATCAGTGACCATCACAGCTCCTAACAGCACAAAGACAAACAACTCGACTCACACACCTCCTGAGGGAGACACAAAATATGGCCCACATGCAATGCAAATCCAACTACCAATTTACAGGAAATACAGAGATCAAAGAAACATGTTTCAACAACATCACAGGAATATAATAGGCAGAATGCAGTCATGAGTAACCTGATAGGTAAATGACCTGCTATTTTCAAAGGAAAAAAGGTGGAGAGGAAACCTTACACTAAAAGAAATGCAGGAGACAGTGATCTATGTGAGGACTTTCCTGGATCCTGATTAAATAAACATATTGTCTGTAGGCCAAGTTCAGTAGTTCACATCTGTAATCCCAGCACTTTGAGAGGTGGGGGTAAGAGGATGCCTGAGCCCAGGGGTTTGAGACCAGCCTGGGCAACTTGGTGAGACGTCTCTACAATAAATCAAAAAATTAGCTGGGCATGGTGGTATGCACCTGTAGTTCCAGCTACGTGGAAGGCTGAGGTGGAAGGATCGCCTGACCCCAGTAGGTCAAGGCTACTACAGTGGCTATGAGCGTGCCACTGCACTCTAACCTGGGCAACAGAGTGAACTCCAACTAAAAAAAACTCCAAACTCCAGTCTGGGCGACCGAGTGAGACTCCAACTCAAAAAAAAAAAAAAATCACACTTATGGTCAGGCTCAAGTCTGTAATCTCAGTATTTTGGGAGGCTGAAGCAAGAGAATTGCCTGAGTCCAGGGATTCGAGACCAGCCTGGGCAACTTTGTGAGACCTCGTTGCTACAATAAATAAAAAAATTAGCCGGGTGTGGTGGCATGAGCCTGTAGTTCCAGCTACTTGGAAGGCTGAGGCAGAAGGATCACCTTAGTCCAGCAGGTCAAGGTTGTAGTGGCTGTGAATGTGCCACTGCACTCCAACCTAGGTGACAGAGTGAGACT